CATCAGTACGCAGTTCCTTCAAACGAAAGATCCCGTCTTAAAATATTGCAACGATTGCTTGGCTATAGTCGTTTAAGCAAGGAATGACCCAAGGAATAATATTTCGTTCAGTTTTCATTCTTTTCTATCAATTCAAAGTAAAACTCGAAGTTTGTTTTACATTCTTCTGTTTCTCAAAAAAAAAAAAAAAATTACATTTTTAAGCAACCTCTTTCCAATTAGCGCCCTCCCTTGAGGTAGACTAAGAGTAAATAGGCGCCCTGGAAATAAAAAATCGGATCATTACGGTAGTAGTTTACGCGGCGGAAATAAAAGTTTCAGTTAAAAAGAAAGTATTTTGGAAGCATGAGCCGATTTCATGTCCATTTTAGATCTGGGGAAATTCCTCTCGACGAGGATCCTACTAAATAACTATAATGTACTTCTGATACATTCAAACATCCGTCCAAAGAGGAACGAAATCAATGATATCTATTGTGGAAGCGGACAAGCCCAGAATACTATTTCTGCAGTTCTAATCATTAAAGGGGTGGGCGCCGATTGCAACATATATTTTGTGTTTACATAAACATTGAGCGTAGGCACATGTGACATATCAAGTGTAAAGATTTATTTTTTGTTCACATCATAGGGGTTTACCCTAAATACAAGCAATATAGTTCCCAGGGTACTTCTCGTGTAAGTAAGCAGGTGTGTCATTCCTTTAAAATGTTGGAAAGTGCTGAAAGTTAAAGATAAATTTTCCTGCTCGGTGATACTCCTATATTTGTTGATTTCGCATCGCTGAGTCACAACTTAAGCTAATTTCGAACTATTATTAAAAATGCAGTTTAATTAAATTACTCGGTCCTGTTAAAATGGAATAACTTCATGGTGACATAGTGTAGCTGTTTGAGGTTAAACTGTTTTATAAAGGGAAAGCAAAAGACCATCCAGTTGGTTAATAACTGATCCAAAGATTTAATGAGTAGGACTGAGAAGTATGTGAGTCAAAACCGAAGTCATGTTCATATGAATACACAAAAGAGGCTTCGTTAGCTTCTGTAATACCAACACCGTGGTCCGCCCGATAGCAGCTACTTCCTCCTCCACCAATCATCATCACTGATCCATCACCACTACTCCAGTCACACCAGAAGCCGATCTTGTTGGCGCTTTGAAGGTTTCCATTGCACTCAGCCTGTTGAAAGCCGTCTGTTGACTTGTACTGTCCGCCATAGTGAACCGTACAAGTTCCCAGACACCGATGACTGGCCCAGACTTTCCCATTTCTAAATTCGCCATAACTTGTGATTTTGGATCGGAATGTTTGTCCGCCCAAACAGTTACCCGTGGTCTGTAAAAGAGGGGTGTGGCTGGGGTCGTCACTGCGCGTGATCTTTATCTCGTTACCGCTGACCGACCAAAAGGCTGTTGAGATCATATCGTTGTTCACTGAAGGGTCGTTTGTCGCTCCAGTGGCAATTTGCTGGTCATACCACCACTTACCATCATCACGCATCCAATTCTTGCCATCGCTGTTTGAGAATCGAGCGATAAGAGTCCAGCCTGCAAAGAAATAACATTTCCCATCTTTCTGTTTATAATAACAATGTATGGATAGTTTAATCTTATTTCTAAGTCTTTCTGGATGGCCATATCGGAAAGGATAGTAATTTATTCTTTTTCTAGCCTGGAACAAGTTGTGCAATGGTTTCACCCTTCTTCTGTTTTTCTTGGCGTCATTATTAAAATAAATTAACCATGAAAAACTTTCTGGGACCACAAGGGAAATATATTTATAAAAGATAAAATTATTAAGTGGGCAAAACTCGTAGGAAGGAAATAATTATAGTTTAACTGATCAACTAACTTTAAGTGGTGTGATTAACAGATTAAGAACAAAGAGGGTTACTCATACATGTTTTTTCACTTTTACAAGAACAGTTGTAGGAGCCATAAGTGTTCTGGCAATTGGCGTTAACGTCACAAGGCCAGAGGGAGGCATTGCACTCGTCAATATCTGAAGGAAAATGGAAATTAACTTTTGGGTAACTTTACAAGAGAATTTGGAAATCAATGATAACAATCGGAAAGCGGTAAGTAGCTGAAATCTGAGGCACTATCTGATTGGGGAGGAGACTTTACACCGTCAGTTAAGTATAAAGCAGTCATGTAAATGTACACTAAATTGTGCCTCATCAGTTACACAATGTCCCCATTTGTATGGTTCACGCAAACGCAGACGCAGCTGTATGTCTTCTCCTAAAGTTTTACATTCTTCTGACCAACAGATCAGCAAAAACTAGAGTTTACCTGTACATGTTTTTCCATTCCCAAAAAATCCGCTTTTACAGGAACAACTGTAGGAGCCGTTAGTGTTGTGGCAGTCTGCATTAATGTCACAAGGCCGAATGGAAGTACTGCACTCGTCAATATCTGCAAGGGCAAAACGAATTTTTGGCNGACAAGGACACATCGAAACCAGTCGCTAGACATTTTAATTTACCTAATCATTCTAAGCAACATATGGCAATCTGCGGTCTTTCCTTGCACTTAGGTGGCACGGAAAGCCGTAAAAATCTTGAACAAAAGCTCATCTTTCAAACCGGCAGTCTAAATCCCACAGGGATCAATGAACGCTTTTCATTCCACTAATTTATTCATGTTTTTCTCGTTGCCATGCACCCACCAATAACGTAGCTCCATTTTCTGCCTTTAAAAGCACACACAACCCACAATTCCTCTATTCGCTCCGACGAAGGGCTAACGCTCGAAACGTCAGCTTTTGTAATCATTACGGTGGCCAATTTACCATTTCAACTTTGTTGATATATCCAAATTATTTCGTTACTCCCACCGACGCAGCCCCAAACAGTTTCTTTCGAAACTATCAGCCTTTATTCATCTGTTATGATTTACCTCCTAACTTGTCTAATGGTGCTTCGTTTCTCAAGAAAGCTCCAAATGCTTTCGGAAGATGGTCACCTTTCGCGTTTGGAAGCTGGTAGGTACGCAACTAAATGAGAGTAAACTTTTCTTCCTACCGGCAAGTCAAGCCGCGTCGCGAGCCTGGATCGAATATGGCGGCAAGTTTAAATTATCTTCTTTTCAGACGGCTTATTGATGTCATCTTAGCCGCAAACTTAATTGTCCTGGCAAAAGATGTATCCCCGAATCCCGGGCCAGCTTTTGCTCCTCCTTGCAGTACGAAAGGCTTAAGAATTTATAATCGAAATATGCACAGTCAGGCTTTACGAAAAAAACTGGATGAATTACGCCTATTTTTTAATTAGCGTGAACCCTACATTCTTTCTTTAAACGAAACATGGCTTGACGAGAGTATCACAGATGAACAACGACACCTTCCGGACTACAACATAATTAGAAAAGATAGAGATTGTTTTGGAGACGACGTGGCGGTTTATATTGCCCACCATCTACAGTTCAACCTCATAAATATTGAAAATAGTTCAAATATTGAAGCGCTTTGATTTGAACTTTGGTAATAAATAAAGTAGTACAGCATGATTTAAATCGAGTAGCGCGATGGATGGAAAGTAACAAGCTCATGTTAAATCAGAGTAAGCTGACAAGATCTCGCAAAATCGCCTTATTTTTGTATCCAGCTCACGGTAAGGTCTTAAAAAGGGTAGCCAAATTTAACTATTTGGGTGTTGTATTGGAAGAAACACTTAGTGGGAAAGATCACCAATGTGACCTGGGGTGAAATCTCAGAAGGATGTTGCAAAGAGCTTCAGCGCTTAAAAAACCGTGCGGCTCGAATTATTCTTCGAGGAAAAACTTCAAAAGACACCCTCAACGAGCTTAACTGATTAAGGTTAGCCTGTAGAAGGAAACTGCATAAAAGTATTTTAGTGCTTGAATAATTTGGTTCCGAAATATCTTACTCAGCTTTTTACAAGGAATAGGGCTTTTCATGATCAGGCGACTCGAAGAAGAAACGACCTGTACCAAGAGAACTTTTAAGTATGAAGGAACAATCTATTTTAACGTTTATATTAAGAGTGCCCCCTTCCTGGATTAATTTTAAAAGTTTGATGATTAGACATTTTTTATTTGTAATTTTTCTCCTCTAGAAATCTATTGACATGTTATCATATTGGTGTATTTTAGCCTTTTAAATGTTATTTAATAATAGTAATAATAATAATAATAATAAATAGTAATAATAATAATAACCGCAACAATTTTTCTGGTGACTATAGTGGGGAGGTATTACCCATTGCCGTAAAACGGCCAAAATTTTTAACCGTAAGCCGTAGAGAAAAAACTCGAACTCAATTCAGCTCTTTACAGGATATTATCATCTCAACGTCAAAGTAAAAGTTTCGTCACCGAAACGGAAAGAAACTGGCCTCTTAGCCAAGCACTGCTAATGAAGCAGACATTACTTTTCAGCTGTTGTAAAACAATATTCCCGTGTCTCATAAACCGTACATTTTTTTTTATTTCATCCTCTCGCTCCTTGTTTGAAAAAAAGAAAAACTTTGAAAGCCTGCTACGAGAATTTTCGAACCTAAGAATTTTTTTTGGACACATTTTATAATTTGCTCACGAGCGCCTCTATTACAGAAATAACCACTTTTCTAATCACTCTAGATCTATTTCCAGCGATTTCTGTTTCTAAATCTTTGTACTTTAAAGCTTGTTTGCAAGAACATGAAAATGTTTTGCTCTTCTCATGAAACAAACAAGAACCGCCATTATGACAGTCTGTCTTGAGACATCCCTAAAATAACAAACATGTATTGTCATTTAACAGGCATATTTAACCAAACAGAGTACAACTCTTCCTGTTTAGCTGCAGTTGTTTTGCACGTATTTGTAACTAAACAAAACTAAGGGATATAAGAGGTAAACGCTCAATAACTCTCGGAAATCTAACTAATATGCATGAAAGGGTAAAGCTCCTTTACAATTGAAAGATCACAACTTTTCTTTTTTTGTACAAGTTAAAATAAAGATATGCAAACAAATGAAAGAACAACAGGAAAACTATACCCTGAGCATCATAGAGAAAGTAAAGTCTTTTTTATCATAAAACTGGGCATTTCCGTCGAGGATCCCATGCTTGTTTAGTTCACAATTTCCTTTATCGTCCTTTTCGGATGGTTTTTCGAAGTTTGTTGAAGTACACCAGGAGTTTCTGAGGCATGAAAGACTGCATGATATTTGAGTAGGAGATTTAAACTGTTCGACAGCATGACCATCAAGGCGCCTGTTCTCCTTAGTGGTGAATAACGCTGAACGAGAATACGTCGAGTCTTCTTTAGCAAAAAGGATGGTGAGTCCTTGAAATAGGAAGAGGAAGAAAATCTCCGTGATCGCCATTTCTAAACCCATCATTAACAGAGCGAGATCATTGACGCAGGTGTCAGTATTATGGAAGTTGTAATTGAAACAGTACAACACGATTGGCCAGTTCTTAATTATCGACGTTGAACAAAGAGAGAGGCCACATGCGGTAATCTAATAAATGAACATTTGCTAGCTTTCTGTGTAAGATGTAATCGACGTATCCTGTGTCACCGAGATCTTAAAGAACAAGTCCAGGCGAGATGTAAAGTGAATTACTATTAATTGGTTTTTCTGCCATCGAGTCAGGAGAGTAAGAAATCCAGAAGCTCGATCATTTTCCCCCCGAATAAATCCTGCTATCTTGAACAATCTGACGAGCAACTTCTGGCCTGTCCTGATCTCGCCCGCTAAATAATCTAGCCTCCCATTTCCCTTCCATATCAAATTTGCACCGTTCAAATGTGGAAAAAAGGGTCTCGTACGACTGATAGAAAGGAAAAAAGAGATAACAAGACCCAGAATTTGAAAAATATATTAAGATATATATATATCATCTCGGCTCGGGAATTTTTAAAATCTCAAGTGTTCAACTTACAGTTAAGTTATTCCCGTCGCAGACAAATAAAAATTCGTAAAACTAAGAAAAGTTATGGAGTCAACTAAGAATTTCTTATTTTGGCTGTTGTAGCTTGCTTTCCCTGAATTTTTTCCATAAACATTGTCCATAGCACAATACTTTCGGCCACTGTTAGCAAAATGATTAGTTCAAGGATGGTTAAATAAGATTTTGATTTTTTTATTAGTTCACAAAAGTTCAGAGAGCGGGAAATCCTCGACTGTTTGGGAATTTATCGACGAATGAAAATCATGCTCTGATATCTCCCAAGGGAAGGGGTAGCATGGTGTCCTGGGTATGGGCCGATGCCCCACTATAGTCGATTTTTTACCCCATTTTAGTCACACTGGGAAATTGAACAGCTTTTAAACCCCGAATCTTTCCTAATTATTAGAATTTTCTTATACCCTCAAAATTCCGAAAATGGGGGATCCCATTCCAGACTGTTCTTAAGTTGTCTCTTTGGTAGTCTAAATTTTATTCCCAGGCCTCCTCCTTGTGTGCTGAGCCATTGAAGATTCAATTAATCAATGGCTTCCAATTTCCTTTTACCTCGCTTGACACGTTCGTAGAAGACTTTAACATAATAAAGTAGACTGTGTAAAAACATTTCAAACTGTTCAGTGGATACTATACATAAGGAACCTCAGATTTCTGCTATCGTACAGCGAGGGTTAGCCACACACACAGTTACGTGACACTGACAACGGACTATATTTGAATATTCTGCGGGGTTTGCTGTCAGCACTTACAATGAGTAAAATGCCATCGAAGGCGACGAGATGCGGCGAAATTGACCGCGAAGCGAATAGTAGTATTTTTATGTAAACTTGGTAAAAAATCTTCATTAAAACAATAGCTACCTATATTCAGTATTAAATCGGATAGAAACTATCAACATACTGACTGCCGAGTGAGAATCCATCGAGTCATCAAATACACAATTAATTTGCTCTTTAATTTCACCTCTTGTTCTGATTTCTTTGACATTCTCCTTCCCTGACGTTCTCAGATTCCCAAAAGAGTAAACAGTCACTATGGTTCAAGATGAAGATCCTTAGATTTCATTAGGGCAACTTTGTGGATCGATTACTGCTTTTGAAATCACGGTCGAAAAGCTTGAATTTACAAAGAAAACTTTTTCATTGCGAATCTTATATAAACATTTAGGTATTCAAGCTTTTCGCAGGCTGGACGCCGGAGTTCCATACAAATATGATTTTTTCAAACGCGTCTTGCATTTGGTATTCATGGCACGGTGAGATGTTTTGCCACCTCTAATTGACTGTAATTCAGGTGATCATATTGTACGCGAAGTCGTGCGTGCCGCATTGTAAAGATCACTGTTTCAAAATTTCCCATGCCGAAAACTTGAACCTTCCGCCACTGTTTACTCTTTTGGGAGTCGCCTCGCGGTTAACTTCGCTAAGTGCTGACGGCAAACCCCGCCGAATTTTCAAATATATTCCGTTGTCAGTGTCACGTAACTGTGAGTGTGGCTAACCTTCGCTGTACGATTGATAGATCAGGACGATGGATCAAAGCGAGGTGTCACTGCGGGGACGGGGTAAATATTGTACATAAATTGACCGTACCACAATCAGTAGAGATAAGATTGACTTTAGACCCGAGCCTCTTGCGCGGCCGTGTCCCGCTTTGCACGTGAAGGCATCGGTAGAAAGAAAGAAACTTGGAAATGATTGTAGAAAACGCTCGTTTTCAGCGTAATGCGCGGAGATTTTTGGAATTGAGACACTTTCCAGGGTGCAATGATCTCGGATCGTAAGTTGTGGATAAAAAAAAAATGATGATGAATATTCAGATCCTTTGGAAGAAGCAGCTAGTGCTGGAGCTAGATTAAGTGTTCCAGAAAAAGCCAGTATCTCTCGGAAAAGAAAAGTGCCGACTAATCCAGCCAAAAAGAAGAGAAATGTTCGTGGATCAGTCGATCCAAAAGTGTCCGCGTGGGATAGAATGAACGAGTTCAAGGACCAGTGCCTGACTACAGATACAGTGTCGGGAAATCTAAGATGTGACGCCTGCAGAGAAACTCTTTCCAAAAAAAAGAGTTCTATCAAGAAACATGTAGCATCTGTAAAGCACATCAAAGCGCTGGAGAATATTAAGAAAAGCAAGAAGAAAGATCAAAATATCAAGGATCTTCTTGCAAAAACAAGCGGAGGAGCAAGAGGATACACATTACCCGAAGACATGAGGCTCTATCGATACGAGCTCGTGGAAGCGTTGCTGAAGGCAGGTATCCCTCTTTCAAAAGTCGACAGTTTGCGACCATTTCTTGAAAAATATGGTCATCGCCTGACAACTCGGAGCCATCTCACAGAATTCATTCCCACCATTCATCAGAAGGAGATAGACTTTGTGAAATCCGAAATAGCTGCCAACAGTGCTTTTTCTGTGATCTTTGATGGGAGCACCAGGCTTGGTGAAGCGTTGGCAATTGTGGTTCGCTTCATTGACAAAGATTGGAATATACAGCAGAGGCTTCTCAAACTTGAAGTTCTAGCCAAGAGCATGAATGGGGAAGAGCTTGCTCAAAGACTGATTCAGTGCTTGGCTGTGGAGTATAAAATACAGCCGAACCAGCTTCTAGCAGCAATGAGAGATGGTGCCTCAGTAAATGAGGCTGGATTGCGTCAAGTCATGTTTTTCTTTCCCAATATTTTTAATGTCATCTGTTTCTCACACACAATCGACAATGTTGGGAAACACTTTGAATTTAGTGTCCTAGACACATTTTCTAGGTGTTGGAACACCATGTTTTCTCTAAGTCCAGCTGCCCGGCTGTTGTGGAAGACAAGAACTGGCACAGCGATGCGACTTCATTCCAAAACCAGATGGTGGAGCAAATGGGAAGTCCTCAATCAGGTAATGGAGTTTTTTGGGGACGTTGAGCCCTTCCTAAGAGAAAATGATAACCTGTCTCCTGTTTGCCGTGCAAGCCTGTTGGAGATTTTTGATGATCCAGTTACTGCTAGAGACTTAGACATTGAGCTTGCTGCTATGATTGATGCGGGCAAGCACTTTGTTCAAGCAACTTATTATCTTGAGGGGGATGGTCCCTTAGTATTTGCTTGCTATGAACGTTTGTCTGCATTAGCACATGCAATAGCCATTGACTCTTATCCAAACACTGAGGCCAAAGCTCGCCAACATGCAGGTAGAAATATGGCATTGTACAACCAGTTAGTTGCCCAAGGAAAGGCATGCATCAATCCAGGCTTCCGCTTTTACCAACAGAAATTCAGTGTGCAGTTCCACAATGTTGTTCGTGCATTTAAGGCTGCACGGTTATGTTGCCCAGTACAGGTGCAAGCACTACGTCCAACTGCTGTATCAGTCCAGGACCTAAAGCAATTTAGTTTCATTACTGATGCAGAGGTTGTACAGCTTGTGGAAGAGCTGCCAAACTATCTGGCCACTGCTGATGGTGCAGCCATTGAAACAGAAGAAGACAAAGTACATTGGTGGGCTACACATGCCGCTGCTCTCCCAAATTGGTCTGCTGCAGTCAAAAAGATCTTGTTGGTGCAGCCTAGTTCAGCATCGGCTGAACGAGTGTTTAGCCTGCTACAAAATGCATTTAGTAAGCAGCAAGAGGCAGCATTAGAGGAAACAGTGGAAACATCGGTCATGTTACGTTACAATGACAATAAGCGCACATGAAATCATGAATTATGTGTCGGTAGAGGGGTAGCTGGTGGTGCAAAACCTTCAGGGACAGTTTCTGTTAAAAACATGAAATTAAATTGAAATAAGCAAACAAGTAAGAAAATACTATGCGTAATAGACCCTTAATCAAATACTTAGTTTGAATTAACTTTGTTTTCTTCAAATATTAATCTTTTGAATATTGACTTTCGTTTCCTGTGTACGTAGTTGATGGTTTTGATTTCCCTGCTTTCGAAGCTATCGCTGGAAAGCGATCGAGTCTATGGGTGAG